TATTACGTAGATGGAGAATGTCGCAATGACAATTGCTTAAAAGGGAGAGGCGGAAATGAAGTACAACATAAAAAGAAAAGAAAAACTAAAAAGCAATACACGTTGTTATGATCAGCTTTGCAGTATTCTTTCGACTTCTCGTTTTTTTGTTCTTAATATTTTAGCTGATTTATATATCTCTACCAGCAGGATCTTCGTCCACGGTTGCTGCAGTTATTTTCTCTAAAATCCACACCCGTTTTTAAACCTGGTCTCTACGAAATTATGTCATCATTACTTAGATTAGAACGCCAACAAAAAAGTTTCTTAAAAACTGATTAGGGGGTGGGTACATCCTATAGTGTCCTATACGAGGAGGTTTCGAAAGAAAGGGGTACCTTTTTGAGGCCTCGGGTATATGAAAGGGTAGGGATTTCACTTGTTGAAGTATGTAAAAGGGTAGGCAGGGAAATCGATTCTTCCGTCTGTAAAAGACCCAAAAGGGCTAATACAAGAATTTATGGCTGGAAAAAAAGTCGAGAAAATTTCCTGGTTTGCGTTTCTTTCATATTGTAAAGACAGTGTATTCACAGCAGTTAAAAGAGATGCAACATTCTAAACTCGGTATGTATAAAAAGGGCACCATTTTTCAATAGAAGGTATACGAAAGGGGTACCCTTTCTGTCAAAAATGGTACACAAATGGGTAAGGGTACGGCCTAAGGGCGGAGCCTCCCCGTATAAAACCTTTTTAAGTACCTCCCCATATTTCTATACAGGTGTATTTTGTTCTACCATCTTCAACACTAGTCCTTCCAAACTTAATTAAATAAACACATACCTTAGTGCAGACCTCCTGAAAGATAAATATAGTAAGTGATACCAACTAGGTTTTGAAGGTAAAGGCGCTCCACAATCCCCTTCCGCGGCTGTCGAGCTTCGAGTTTTTACTGGCTCCCGTCTCTAATTAGCCCACTACCCCCTCCCACGACAGGTGTGGCTAACGCGGTAGAGTTCTGTTTCTGGAGGGTCCCCAATAGGTTTGTCGTCTTTTTCGGAGTCGGCCCGGGATTTGCAACAATTGAACGTCAGAATTCGGTATTTTAGAACAATAATAATAATAATAATAATAATAATAATAATAATAATAATAATAATAATAATAATAATGAAATGTCTTTATTTCATAGCATGAAAATAGATAAAAGCCAAATGTTACAAATATATGATGTAGATAAAAAGACAAGACAAAAAGTTTAAAAAATAGCTGAGAAATAAGGAATATTATATAAAAGACAATGTAAAAATAGTAAAATGACATGGTAAAAAACAATCTAAAGTTAAATTTAAATATTAAACGATTCGTAACATATTAAACGATTTATAAAAGTGATTTACAAAATGGGGTCGAGACTCGGGATTGATTCGGGATTAAAGCCTGCACACGGGATAAGGGATTACGGGATTCACGAACCCTTTTTAAATAGTAATAGATTTCGCGGGAGGGCGATATTTTATATTTTTCTGGAACAATTTATTGAGATTGGTCCAGTACGGATTTTCTTCGTGGGAATTATTTTTTGACATTCTAAGCCATTATATTAAGATTCTTCCGTTTAGAAGAATCGAACGCAAGTAAAAGAATATTCGAAATTTGATTTTAATAATTTTAAAAATTAGTCTTAAAAAATCCAGTAATGTCATTCCATTACAATCTTTCTCTCGTGTATAGTCGATTGCTCTTAGCCAGGGTCTGATATAGCAATTACCAACTCAAATGACGTTCATCGTAAACAGTGATGTTTGTAAAACTATAAGATTTTGACGTAGATTTGGTTCGTGCGTAAACTGAATTCTCGCGAACGTTTTTTTGTGTGTGTGATGGAGGAGGCTCAAAAAAGTGCCAGATGATAGTCGTAGCTATGACGTAAGAAGACGTAAGAAGATGAAGCTATGACGTAATTTCAGGGCTTAATCAAAATGGACGGTCTTTATTAGAATAAGACAAAGTACTGCACTCAAAAGACTCGAACGCCTGACTAAGGATAAAAAAATTAGCAAAAAAAGGAGTTACGTAGACTCAACAGCAAAAAGAAATTATTTCCTCTAAGAAAATAGCAGTTGGCACGTAAAGAGAACTTCTGCGGTACTGGACGATGAAAAACAGAAGCGGTTAAAAAAAAACTTGATCCATTCCACTTTTATGGAATTGAGTGTAAAAGTTTCATCTTTTCTTCTGGTGCAGAGAGGCCGCATTATTCAAAACATTAAATACGTTTACTTGGAAATTAATTGCCAAATCAATTGAACTGCATGAAGAAAAACACCATTCACTCACGTTTCCGCGGTTGACATTGAGCTTAATGAACGATTAAGTTCATTATCGTCGCATTGTTTATTTCTCCCATTTTTTACCACATAAAAAAGTCAGAAAAGAGCCTTATCCTTCCACCAAAACTGGAATAATTTAGACAGAAACTGAGACATAACGTGAAAGTACCGAACCCGGGGGGTACTCCTAGGAATTCTTGGTGGGGGTGTGCCGCCCGACTACCAAATCCTGACCCTATTTCAGACCAAAACTGTCATTTTCCATTGCAGTAGTCTAAAGACTGCTGCAAAGCTGATCATAACAACGTCAGGAGTTTATTATTCCTGACAACGTGTATCTTGCTTTTTTATAACAATATTTCGGCTGGCCATACCAGTCTTCGTCAGGTTTACAGATGTTACTCAATCTATGATAAGAATTAAAATATTACGTAATGATGGAGAATGTCGCAATGACAATTGCTTAAAAGGGAGAGGCGGAAATGAAGTACAACATAAAAAAAAAAGAAAAACTAAAAAGCAATACACGTTGTTATGATCAGCTTTGCAGTATTCTTTCGACTTCTCCTTTTTTTGTTCTTAATATTTTAGCTGATTTATATATCTCTACCAGCGGGATCTTCGTCCACGGTTGCTGCAGTTATTTTCTCTAAAATCCACACCCGTTTTTAAACCTGGTCTCTACGAAATTATGTCATCATTACTTAGATTAGAACGCCAACAAAAAAGTTTCTTAAAAACTGATTCGAATTTGCATAGTACTCTTCCTTTCGATATCCACTTGGAATTGAAACGACGTATACGTTCATACACTCCTGTATAGTTCCCTCGTAAACCATATCAGATTCCAGACCAAAATGGACAAAGTCTATACCCTTTTTCAGACCGAAGCGGCGCAAAACCCATACTCTTTGGGGCGGTACATACATACCTATATGGATTATATTTAACAATTATTCCGCGCGCCGAGTTGGCTATAATCATCTCATATCCAACAAGCGCGAGTGGAATAATTGTTTTATTAAAAACGCCCACAAAAAATCCAGAATTCTTCCCGACTTCATTTGTGAAAACAACCGATTTTCAGCTTGCTTTTAATTTTGAGCAGACGCGTACAGTTACCATATTTGGAGAGCATGGTATAATGGNGGATCTTCGTCCACGGTTGCTGCAGTTATTTTCTCTAAAATCCACACCCGTTTTTAAACCTGGTCTCTACGAAATTATGTCATCATTACTTAGATTAGAACGCCAACAAAAAAGTTTCTTAAAAACTGATTCGAATTTGCATAGTACTCTTCCTTTCGATATCTACTTGGAATTGAAACGACGTATACGTTCATACACTCCTGTATAGTTCCCTCGTAAACCATATCAGATTCCAGACCAAAATGGACAAAGTCTATACCCTTTTTCAGACCGAAGCGGCGCAAAACCCATACTCTTTGGGGCGGTACATACATACCTATATGGATTATATTTAACAATTATTCCGCGCGCCGAGTTGGCTATAATCATCTCATATCCAACAAGCGCGAGTGGAATAATTGTTTTATTAAAAACGCCCACAAAAAATCCAGAATTCTTCCCGACTTCATTTGTGAAAACAACCGATTTTCAGCTTGCTTTTAATTTTGAGCAGACGCGTACAGTTACCATATTTGGAGAGCATGGTATAATGGCTCATATACAATGATGGCTAAGCCAATCAGAGCTCCAGAATTGCATTATCCAATGATTTAGTTTTTGATAAAAGGGAATATCACCCCCCGGGGTTGTATGTATATTCTTGCTACTTTGTTACTGATTTCAAACAGTAGCAGTAGTTCAGGTCATCAACACCCAAACCCACTGCTTGTCTTATTCCATCTGTTATCCTTGTAAAGTTTTTAGGCACAAGGAAATTACCGATGTGCAATACATAGTTATTTATTCAGGATGTTAAAAGGAAGCCACAGGGAGACATGAAAACGGTTAATCGCTGTTATTTTATTTTCCGTTAACTTGGTCGAGATCAGGTGAAAATAAGTTAAAATATAATTCACTTACTGCCCTTAACTTGTTTGAATTAAATCGTCTTGAATGTCTTTGTTTCTTGAACAGCCCGATCTCTTTTTAACGCGCGTGCGTTTGTTGATAATATGTTTTTATCGTGTGGTGCGCTGTAAATTTTGAAAACAAAATTGAAATGTTAAATGTAAAAATTGCCCATCCACACTGAGTTGTTAACTTGTTGTCATGACATCAGCGCGAAAAGCTAAATCTTGTCGTGCACATGGTTTGCCCAGACTCTTCCTGGTCCTGAATCAAATATAAGCAAAAGCGGAATTTAAATGCTATTTCGCCTCGGAAACTCACAGCCGATTGCTTTTTAAAGCCATCATTGAAAGCTTTTATTTTGCCATTGTTTCAAGGATCTGGTTTATTCTTTTTGATGCACTTTCCGCCGACAGCTTTCTTTTTGTGGGATTCATAATTTTGCAATTAAAATTCAGCGAACAACGCAAAAAAGGTTCTTCCGTCGAAACACAGCTGCGCATTCCGCTGTTAATTCCTCAGATGAAATTGTGTTATTTTTTGGTCGAGGTTTATGTTTGACAGTACACAACATAATAACTAGTCAAGGGAAAACACTATGTAGCCTCTACACTCATCCAAGCCGCTATATCTCAGTTGTCTCCACTTTTGGCAATGTCGCACGTTTATTCAGGTCGACATAACCAGGAAAAGATATCTTATCAGAGACCGCTACCTCAGTTTGACTTCAACAGTCGAGTGAAATTACCCCCAATTATCAAGAACGAATTGCTAACCGGCGGCGAAAGAAGACGAAAAACTTCAACACGTCAATCTTTGTCGAAAACCAATTCCCCGAACGCGAGTTTTCCGCTGATCATTGAAACTCAGCCGCACAGGAATCGGAATCAGAATGGATATTCATCGCAGCAAAGGAGAGCTCCTGTACTTAAAGCAAGAATTAACCATGTGGAAAAGAGTCCCATTCACTTCCCAAACTCTTATACTGTCCTGCCTCCCATTGGGCAAACTCGACAATCGCCGTATTCCACGTTCAATTCAACGTTGCCGACATCTTCAGGAAATAGCAAGAAAGGTCCTAAAATCGTCTCAAAGGAAGTTCCCTCACAGAGTAAACGCTCAGACGATGGTGCGCGAACTGTTAGAAATGACGACAAGCGACATAATGAAATTATTAAGAGCATACCGAACACACAGATTAAGCCTGTTTCAAAGTCGCATGAACACTCATTTTCTCAGCCTGAAAATCTACACCAGTACCTGAAAAGCGTTAAAAGCGGTGGTGAACCCGTTCCTGGCATTTCTGATGAAGACATTCAAGTGTCTGAATGCAACCCAAATCATGAGCTGGAAAGATTAGAACTAAGCAAGGAAGTCGAAGAGTTTCTTGATAGCAAGAGCAGCCAAAGACGAGGTGCAAAATGTATTGAAATAGACCCATCGCTCAAGACGGCAGTAGACGTGATTCGGGATAATCTACTTCGACAGACTATGGAAGAACTGTGCATGATGTGGTAGAAAGAAAATTACGGCAGATGGCTCTAACACATTGTTTTCTGCTAGTCTCACGGTTCGGATCGTTATAGCCATATTTTAAAACTCTTACGCTGAGAGTCTGATTCTGAATCAAAATAAAAACACTTACCAACATAGGAATATAAACGAGAAGAAACTACTTTCTAATGTGCGGAAATGAAAATAATTGCACTTTTTTCAAGCCTGTTCACTGCTGTTAACGCTATTAGCATTATCAAAAAATAAATTCTAACCAGCAAAGTCTCAGTTTTAGTAAATTGTAGCTTTCGGCTTTCGACAGTCTTCATCCGCGACAAACGCTCTGGGAAAGCTTTAAGACTAAAATCCGAGACTTTAAGACTATAATTCATTTTATCAAGTTTGATTACCAAGGTCAAGAATGAGCATCTATAGAACTATCAGCATTATGTTTGCAACAAAGTCCTTGTGGAAAAGTAGCTTGGTACGTGGATTGTTGACCAAAAAATCGTTCATGTTGAACTGGAAATGAGATATTTTTGGCTGGTAAATCGTTTCCACCAGCTGTGTAAAATTGTAAATAAATCAAGTAAACATGTGTCAAATTGTAAATAGATCAAGTAAAGATGATCAGATCTAAAAATCTAAATCGCTGCGGTGATTATATAAATATTTTTTGTGATATGTAGAATGAAGCTGAAATTTACATTGCACGCACGCATGTGTTCTTACTCTAAATAACCAGATTTTCTCAACTATCACGAGAAATATTTACTCTTATAAATTTAGAATAATCTAATGTAAAAAGGCTCTGTCTTTTAATGGCCATGACTCGACGTACATCGTTCACCTGCTAACTGAAATTTTTTGCTGCGATGTGCAAACTGATTAAAATGAATTGATACGTTATCCCAAAATACAGAAAATAGAAACAGCAACGGAAGAGAGGATTTTGCTTATTTTTTTTTTTTAATTGTCAATTGGCGGTAAGGGCTACGACCTAACGTTATAAATGATGCAATATTTTATAAGGGCGTTTTAATGAATTCTTCTTCATAAGTCACTACCTCATTTGATTGGCCGGCAAAGCCAGGACATAACGGACTGCGTCATACGTTATTGCGCAATTACACTTAAGAGCAGAAGAGGCCGTACACAACATTTGCTTTGCCACAGGCTCACCAACTCAATGGACTGTAACTGGAGCTCAGTGTTTTTTAACCACAAAGATTTTAGCCTGCGTAGCAAGCGCTTCCGTTTGGTTTCGGAGAAAAGATAGACCGAGGAACGGGATTTTCGGTTTTGGCCGCGCGAGAAATGGAGCGAGAGCTCTTTCACTCGCGCCATTTTTTGCGCGGTCTTTGACTCTCATTCCTCGTTCTGTGCTCCGAAATCGCACAGAAAACTTGCTACGCAGAATACAAAGCTTTCCATTATTCGTATTTCGTAAACACCATTCGTAACTACTCTTTAGAGGATCATTCTGCTACTGAATGCTGGAGCTACCTTTCCTTCGGGCTGGAGGAGGGGTATTCCTATATTTAAGCTACAATGGTATTTGGCCCTGGGTACAGGGTAGGGATACGTTTAATTACTGCGCAATTGCGCATAAGAGCAGAGGAGACCGTAAACAACATTTGCAAACATTCCTCGGTCACTTTGATATGGGAGAATCCCCAGGTTTCCAATCGCTCTACTGGCACTAGAAACGGCGAGGCGAGTCTTCTCTGGAGCTGATATGAAAATGTGGTTGTATTCTTTGGGATGGATGAATCAAATACCTTTCCTAATGGCGGAGTTTGCAGCCATTTCCTCCCATGAGTACATTCCATTTTCTCACTGCAGTGTTGACTTATTGCACACCATTGGTAATAGAGATGTATGATACCCACGTTTACATTTGCAAAATCTCACAATGACATCTCATCACGCAAGCGAACCGTTCTCGATTGGAAAAGAAACTGTCGGAAATAATCGGCTCCCGTCGCAAGCGCGAAAAGTCTGTAAGCATTCAGTTCCGTGTTGTTGTGTGCTTTTGTTGTCTGTTGGCTTCCAGTATCTGTGACCACTCTGGTTTTAAAGGGGGAGATATGAGTCACAAGTGACCTGCCCTTAATGGACTAAATATCTACCGTATTTACTCGTTTAAGCACTGAGGCGGTTATTAAATTTTCAAGCCTCAAGTGTATTAACTATGGCATTATTATTTTCTGTGTTGAACTATCTTTTGATTTTAACTATATCAGGGCGGCGACGCTTATTAATTTTTTCTCACAAATGAAGCGCTTATTCTAGAAAATGCAGTAAACCAATTTCCAAACGTGGTGGCTCTCTCGCACTTAGTCTTGAGCCCTGCAATTTACAGCTACAGTAACAGACCATTTAAAACTGAAAAAGAAATATTGAGGTGAAGATCATCAAAAGTGGTTTGAATGGCAACTCAGTCGACCTTGTACTCGCCCTTTAATGGTAGGCTTGCAAGATCGATCGGATATGAAGGGGAATATGGAAAGCAGTTCAGTGAAAAAGGACTCATGATTGTGTTCGACGTTAGGAGAACGCATCTAAATCTTGTGCGTCCTGTATTACCAAGCAGTAATTTTTTGTCTTCTTTCTTATACTTTTTATCTTCTTTCGTATACTTTTTCGGCGCCATCTTAGCATCTACGGCCCGGCTGGAGACCGAGCCAAGGGCTACATAGCAAACAAATTAAACAGCGCAAGATGACTTGCAAAACGAAACACGCAGTCATGATCAATTTTAAGCACACTCTTATGCTATGGCTTCTGATTCGGAAAATCTGGTTCCAACAACAGTTTTTACTGGATGGTAAGCGACGAGTCATAAGTGATGTCGGAAGAAATTTCGACTCTGAGTTTTGATTTTTATTGGATCGAACTAGATAACAAGCGCTGTTACCACTGCGCCTCAGTCTCCTAATCTGAATCCGACGCCGTCGCTAATTTAGCGCAAATGGATCGCGCAGGTTGCGCCAGACTTGGTATTTCGCAGTTACTAGAAAAGTAGTCTCAATTAAATGTTTTTAAATTTTATGAAAATCTTTGAAATGAGGACAAAACAGTGCCCTGTCAGATAAGTGAGCGGACGATCATGAACTCGTTAAATGCAAACTTCATTTGCTCTCCATAGTTGTACACTTTGTTTGATCTTTCAGACAACTTGTCACATGACTTGTAAAGGAGAGTCAGTGACAATCTAAAATTACCCATTTAGCTTGACACACAAGCTACTAGACTACATGTAGAAGGTTTCGCGCGGGCTCATTTCTCGTACATTGCAGCTGGTAATCACTCCTACTACAACAACAATAACAATATGCTTTATTTGTATGACTGTAACAAAGTATTACAGTATTACAAAAGCTACTTGAATTTAATTATTGATTCCTTTTATACATTAAATATTTAAAATAACTTTAAATATTTTCATCATTGCTTATTTTACACCATCGGTAGGATTAATTATTCTGGAGACAAGTTTCACTGAAGTTTGTCTCTCAATTCAAAGCAAGGTGATATAAATGAAATTAATTGGATGTTAATATAGTAGTCAGTAGAATTCATTAGATGCGATATTATATTAGATTGGTTAGGAAGTGTGCATCTGTCAAGGTTTCCTTTGACACACATACTTGACGGCTTACTTTTAAGCCTGCCAGTAGAAGGGGGAAAGAGAAAAATGGGGAGCGCTTGGAGCGCAGGGCCCTTTCAACTTCGCTCGCATTTGCTTTCAAACGCGAACGATTCAGTTGGCCTTTCGATCGATCGCCTTAGGTCACTAACAGGATTCCGGGGTACTCGCTTTAATGGGCTATACGGGAGGGCTCCATCGGTAACCCCAGGGAAAAAGTCCGGAGTTCATATACTTTCCCGTGATTATCGTCAATATAAAAGGGAAGGGAAATCTGTTATTTAGGTCCGTAAAAAGGCCCAAAGGGGCTAACCGATGCATTTTACTGCGGTGAAATTGGAGAAAACGTTCTGATTTTGTGTTCTGTTTGTGTTATAGCAGTTAACTTAGGGATGTAATTTTGTAAACCAGGTATGTGAAGGGGTACCATTTGGCAATAGAAGGTATACGAAAGGGTTACCTAGTTTATTGAAGGGTCATGGGTTGGATCTAGGGGTGGAGTCTCCCCGTAATTTACTTTTGGTGAGTACCTTCCGGGATAGAGAGAAAGAGTCAGCAACCATAACCAAATGGCTGCCATATCAAAGGCTTATTTACTGACTGGCGGCTTCAATCTATTTTAGTTGTCAAAGCAGATAACGAATGAATCTTTCTGTTGTCGTTGAAAAGTATTCCCATGCCAACACTGACTTATATTTCATGCCTGGAGGACGTTATGTAGAACGAGAAGTCAAACGAATCATTCATGAGCTGAAATGAGTCCCAGCTGAGTTAGCTGAAATAGTCTATCCATCCATGGCTAAATTGGCACTTTGAGAGACTAAAACAGATTTCAAGTTATGGCTTTACTAGTAAGTTACTGGGAATTATAGCTTCCAGCAGGCTCTGGTCACTCTTGCGGTAGTCTAGGAGCTGCTCATAAGGTCTTTCCTGATTCGTTCTTTTAAACAATGCCTTAATTCATTGTTTTCCATTGTTTTCCGGTTTGGGTAGCAAACCAATTGGCTTTCAGCTTCCAAGCAGCTGCTACATCCCACTCTTGAGTCGGGCGACTCGTTCTTTGTTACTCATGCAAGATGTTCAAACTGGCGGAAGTGAATTGAAACGTGGAATAGTTTGAGGAACCCGTGACTTCAACCAGGTGATACACCCTGGCCTTCCTCTAATTCGATAAAACTACGCATCAGCTGGAGTCATAGAGGGGGACTCGGATTAAAAGCCGGTGGAAGTAAGAAGAAACATGGAATTGTTTGAGGAATCCATGACTTGAACCCGGTGATACACCCGGCCTTCCCTGTTAATAACTCGACAACATTATATACATCAGCTGGATTTATCGAAGGAGACTCGTGTCAAAACCCGACCAAAGTCAACAGAAACAAGGAAATGTTTGAGAACCCATGACTTTATCCCGGTAATTCACCCTGGCCTTCAGCTCCACCTCGATAACATTTCATGCATCAGCTAGAGTCATGAAGGCGACTCGGGTTTTTTTCCACGGACGATTAAACCAGATCAATATTGGCCAATATGGGCCAGCATGATTATACCTGGACGTTATTCTCTGGCATTTCTCCACGCAGTCTTCAATAACTTATGTGCTATTGACCACAAGGTCTTTTGAAAACTATCTTGTTTTTATTTTGACAACTTTTCAATAAACAATCTCATACGGCTAGATGCGTGAAAATTTTTACAACATGTATGTATGTTATAAATAATATTTACAGCATGTTAGAAAGTTTGAGATTATAAAAAGAGACTTTACTTATCTTCGTTTCTCGATTTTATCGAGTATAGTTCAATAAACTTTTCATGAATGACGCCAACTGCTAAAAACAACGTGATTTCCTTTTCAATAGCCAGTCAATTCACTTTGCACCCACGAGTGATCTGAATACATTTCCTATGAAAATGTCACTTTTTTATTCAGTTTCATTCGAATTCATAGCTCTCAGTCATCAAGTTACTGAAACGCCAAATTAGGAGCCGCCTTCAGAACAGAAAAGCTTTTAATCCTTGAGGCCATTAAAATCTCTCAGGTCAAAAGACAGTTCAATTTTTAACTTTTTTAATTCTTGGGGTCCTTAGCGCACTGGCGTGGGTTGGTTGATTTGTGCTTTGTGAGAAAGTAAAAACACTCCGTTTAATGGTCTTGAAAATAGACCTAAATAATTAACGCGTTGCTGAGAAGTACTCGTTGACCCTGTTGGAAGAACCGCACGCAATGTTTTCATCGACTGGANCCAAATTAGGAGCCGCCTTCAGAACAGAAAAGCTTTTAATCCTTGAGGCCATTAAAATCTCTCAGGTCAAAAGACAGTTCAATTTTTAACTTTTTTAATTCTTGGGGTCCTTAGCGCACTGGCGTGGGTTGGTTGACGTGTGCTTTGTGAGAAAGTAAAAACACTCCATTTAATGGTCTTGAAAATAGACCTAAAAAATTAACGCGTTGCTGAGAAGTACTCGTTGACCCTGTTGGAAGAACCGCACGCAATGTTTTCATCGACTGGATTAAATTTAGCAATCCTTACCAAATCCTAATGGCTGAATAAACTTCTTTCTTTCAACGATGCAATTAATATCCACTTTCAATTTCAATGTGCTGTTGGCAAAACAAGTGGGAATTCATGTTTCGTTTGGATATGTAGCCGCTCTGTTGGTCTTAGAGATCCAAAGATGGTTCAAAGATATCGAATTAAGAATACAATTTTGTTTGTAATCTATATATTTTTATAGGGTCAATCTACTGTCAAGGCCGTGGAAATGAATATTCCATGTTACCCTTTCAGGAAGTAAGAATGGCAAATGTGAACTGGCTGCGTTTAACATCTGTCGGTTGTTATGGAAATACGGAGCTCGCTGTAATCTACCTGTATACCCCAGAAACAGATCTGAGTTTTTCCTTTATAAACCCACTTCTTACTACTTTGTCGCCTGTGAATCCCAAACCGCAAACACTTCCGTGAAGCACTGATTCTTACATATTCTCCAAATTGGGAATTTGACCAAACACTTATCCTTTCCTAAAGCGATTTCGCTTGTCGCTTTCCTTTTTTTTCCCGTTGTGTTAAACTGTAAACAAATATAATTTTTGTCGACCTCGCACCTGCCCACCATATTGTCAATAACCCACTAGATTAGGTACATTTCTTCCATATTCCTTCGTAAAAATATCTCCTTTAGCTGTTCCGTGACATTGATTAAAGCCGGTTCGTTTTCCAAGCAAACTCCAACGCGACGACCTATACGCTTTCCCTTAAGAAACAACACTGTGGTCGCACTTTGTTTTCTTTCTCCAGTTTCGCTATCCTGACTTTCAGGATCAGTTTGTCGTTTGCTTTTAGAAACGTTTCTTCCATTTCCCGAGTCTGCTTTAATATTAATGTTGCTTGTATTTGAATCTCCACTCTTATCGTGATGTTTTTGCACGCCACTACCTTTATGCTTATTGTTTGGTTTACCAACATCGTCTCTGATCAACTGGGCACCTAATTTTTTCTCCTCGTCGCCCCTTAAGTTTTTGTCTTGAGTGGCAATTTCAGTTTCATTAGTAGACGGCTTTGAGATTTTCTGAATGGGAGGAAGAACTGTGTACGACTGAGGAAAATTATGAACCATGGGTGCGAACTCAAGCGTTAAGGATTCCCCCCTGTTCATTTCATTTTCGACGGCCCCGGAGTTGAACGGGCGCCGCTTGCCCGCTGCATTCGACAAGTTATGGCTAGCATGCCGTGGACTTCTGTATCGACCGGGGAATGGATCATTAGGGACGTGAATAACTTGCCGTGTTGACCGATGATGTCCGTTTGCTCGGTGTCCGTATTCGTGCGGCCATGTCTGCTTGCCTCGTGAAGCTGGCTGTCGGAGAATATTCGCGGCTGGCGCTGCTCCTTGTATCGGTGGAAGCTTAAAATTTCTACTGGAGTTTAATGATTTTTCCATGACGAGCTTTGAGATCCATTCGCGCTCAGGACAACGCTAACAGCACGCTGAGAGCGGTGTATTTCAGCTGTAGACGAGAAGAGCGAGACAGGACTAGCCATAGAAGAGTCAAGTGCCAAATAAAGAACACATGATCTTAATCCCAGGTCTTAATTCAGTTTTCTCATAAACGACCGTTCCAGGACCTTTTCGGGGAGATCGCAGTCTACAATATTTTCAAATAAAGCAGTCGCGTCTTATAAATGTCCGTTTTGATCACTCACTGGTATCCTTTTTACTCGAAGGAAGTAAAGAACGTGTCTCTGCAAAGGAGTATGGTATTTCTAGCGAGGCAACACGCGCGCCCACGTTCGTGTCAGTCCTCGCTTGTTTTCTTCTCGATTTATTTCTTGCGTCACAACCGTAAGGGATATTATCGTACTCTGCTTGTAGTAAAATTATGCAAATACTAAACAAAAGGCTTTCTGTTCTTTCCTAGACTGAAAATGAAAAATTACAGTTTCAATTTCTGGGGAAATAGATTAAATAAAAAAGAATTAAATTAGCGTTTATGTGCTCACAATTAGACGCTGCCAACTTCAAATAATTAAAAAAAATCGACAAGCGACCTACGCGTGGACAATGTAAATGAGTTTTTCAGCAAAAACCAGCAGATTATCCCGCTTTTGATTGGCACTTGGTGGTGCTGTACATCCTCTTTCGCAGTGAAATGTGCCTTATTCAAATATTTACCAACAGATTATGCAGGTTATGAAAATTAATTTTTTTGTTGGAGCATCTTACACACAAAATGCGATAACAGTGTATTAATATTAGTCGCTAGTTGTTGTTTATGTTGTTTTTTATTAATTTGTTTATCTTTAAACGATCATTTCGCTTTTCCTTGGTTTATAGAGCTTCCAGGTTTTTCGGTTTTCATTTCACTGGATAGCACCTGCTCTATAATTACGACCTGTATTTGCCAATCGCTTTGCCAATTCAAAACAAAATTGGAATAGCAAGGGAAACAGCCTCAAAGAGCAACAACTAACTGAACTTGTAACCGTTCAATACTGAATATGAACAAAACATACTCCCTGGAAAGAACGCACTGTAGAAAGTAACCATGTGAGCTCTGTTTTTTACTGTGTTCTAGTCTGTGGGCGGAGACACTTAAAGAAAGGTCTAATGTAGGTTATTTTATTTTCAATGTCGGCAGCATTAGTCTCGCAGCAGTATACTATGGGAAACTTCCGAACCAACGAATGGCACCATAACTAATCTCACTATGGGGTACTGAGAAAAATATTAGCGATTGAAATTGAAACAGTGAAACTCTTTTAATATACTGCCAGTTGGAAATTAAACTCAGTCACTAGAAAATCGGCAGATAAGGCCTAACCATTTATTATCATGTCATGCAATTAATCTGAAACTAGATTTATGATTCAAAGTAATATCATTTTTATCTTGAATATCATATAAAAAGAAAACATGACAAAAAAAAAGACAAAGGAAAATAGATGGATTTATCCTTAACTGGCGGCATTTCCATAGTTCTAAGACAGCTGCTAGCTATAAGTGTTTTTCCATGAGAATATTTTTTTCACATATTTCATGTTTTTATTTGGCAGTAGAAAGAAATACATCGAAAGCAATAACAACCCTTGTAATATAAATCTCATTATTGGGAAAAAACCTCGCGAGGGTGGCATATTCTCCACGCAGGTACGCGCACGTATATATTTTGCTACAAGCTTTACTCGTAACCTGCGAAAACATCTGTTTCTCCTCGCTCTTCGCCGCTGGGGACGTGCGAGGAGAAACGAATGTTTTCGCAGGCTAGCTTTACTCGATGTCTGAGACCGCTTGCAGCCAAGAGCCATTATAGCTCTTGTTGCAGCCTATTATCACTGATTGACTTGACATATCCCACGTGCCTTTTTATTGGTTTCAGGGCTTCTTAAGATTAAACTCCAACAATCAGCTCCGTGACTTGACCCGGCGTCACTTCATCTTGCCCCATTTCCATCCTCTCCAGTCGGGCCTTAAAGGGGTAAGGGAGGAGGGGAAAAAGGAGGCGGGGGAAGGGGGGGGGGGTGCAGGACAGCGGGGAGTCCTACTTTTGTCACACATGCAATGCTTTTGTGTTTACCGTCGGCATGAAAAGCAAATCAATAACCCGGGTTTTTTCTCGCCCTACCGAATTTCTATGCTTTTGCGTCGGCGTGGACGATATACTGGAAACGACACCATTTATAGACATGGCCGAGTATCCAGTAACCTGCGTCGCAGATGTAAATAAACCCCGGTTACACGTTTAGTTCCCGTCTGTGGTGCAGGTTAAGTATCCGGCAAACGGAACTTTTCTTCAGATAGGAAAGCCTTATTTTTTAATTTAAACTCAGTTTTCAATTGAAGACCTTTCTTTTTAAGCGCGTTTACGAACTATCTTGGGTTTTTATTTTGTTGATTTTTGTGACTATGTAAGGATTATATGTAAATGATTCTAGTAAGATTTTCATTTTTTATCCGGACCTTTTTAAAGCATTGTAAAGTGCTTAGCACTGAAAGGTGCTATATAAATATTACTATTACTATTATTATTATTATTATTATTATTATCTCACAGATACTGCTAAGATAAAATACGCCATTCATTTTCCCCATAAGCCGAATACAAGTCTTAAAGGTTGCGATTATGCAACGCATTTTGAGAAAACATTTATCACAATGGTTAACAAACATAGAAATTGAACTCTTCTGGACAACTGATGGCCAAGTGGACCGAGATAAACTAACATCAAAGCCAGGATTCGAGCCTGGACTCGAGCCAGGACTCCAGTCAGGACTTTTCTAATCTTTCTGCAAGCAAAAAAATAAATAAGTAAAAATAATTAATAAACAAAAAAACAAAAGTGAAAGAAAAGCAACAAAAAGGACTCCTAACCTAACTTATAACCTCCTAACCCTAACCTGATAACCTTACCCTAACCCTCACCCTAACCTAACCCTAACCCTAACTGTCCTCTTTATGGTCATGTGACTTGCAGGAGGTGAAAATGGTAGAGAAGCGAAAAATTGCCGAGTCCTGCGTCGAGTTCAGGCTCGAAGTCCTGGCTCGAGTCCTGGCTCGGTATATAGGCATCCTTAGGAGCCCATCAAATCCTGGCATCCTCAACTGGACCGCATAATAAATCTGTATGTTAATAATAATATTCAAAGATGACAGTAACTAAAAATAACTGTTGCTGGAAATATCTGAATGACTTAACTGTCAATCAAGAAAATACCCATTACAAAGTGCGATAAAGACCATTACAAAGTACAAAAACTAATTTTTCTAGTTACAAAGAGAAAAAAATTAGCCTGAAGTTCAGACGATTACAACGAGTCGCTTACTTGCTCAGTTAAAACGACTAGGAGTTCACGCTAGAAAAAATTGTGCCGATCCATAAGATTTCGCTTGAAAGTGGGTTGCCTGTTTTGTAACAAGTTAGAGGAGGACTGGGACCTATCAACATTCAAGTTCGGCAGATTCGGCAGTGGAAGATCGAGTTAAAGATTTGCCCGTAGTCGTTTTTACACTTTTAATGGCAGAGGCAGTTGTAAATACCGCTGAAAGCCAAGCAGAAACTCCAACTTCCACAGAAGAGACAGAGGAAACATCTACAGATGGTCAGTAAATGTTATTTTTGACGAGAATATGGTTTGTTTGTTGTGTGCAGCTGTTCGTCGTGTTCCTATATTTTCAAACCGCAGTTGCGTTGGTTTTTTCTTATTGAAATGTTATTTAAGAAAGCCGATTTTCTTTAATACTCAGGGATAGCTGAAGAGGAAGTGGTTCAGACTGTGGAAGAACTGAACTATCATCCCGATTGCCCAGTTTGTCTACAACCAAGTTTTTATCCGGTTAAACTTCCTTGCGGCCACATCTTTTGCTTTTTATGCATAAAAGGTGTTGTTTTACGAAGCCGAAAGTGCGCTTTATGCCGCCATGCGGTCACCGCAGTCTACCTTGAAAACCCTACGTTTATTAGAGTTGTAGAAAAAGATAGCAAGGAAGAGAACTCTTGTAAAACAGTTGAGAAAAATGGCGATGGATCAAGCGAGGATCAAGATTTTGTTTGGTACTACGAAGGCCGCAACGGATGGTGGGCTTACGACGAGAAGACTTCTCCGGAAGTAGAAAAAGCTTTCAAAAGTGGACAGAGATCATGTAGTCTTCTCATTGCCGGTTTTCTTTACGTGATAGACTTTGAAAACATGTTTCAAACGCGTAAGAACGAACCGGGTAGGAGGAGGAGAATCAAGCGTGACAAGAGGGATGTAGATAGAAAGGGTGTAGCTGGAATTCGCATTCCTCCTTCATCGCGGTTAACCGCCCCTGCTCAAACAGCGGATTCCTTGAGCATTGATAAAAGAGATAACGGCGAAAACCAAGGCGAGGTTGTACACTCCACATCTGAAGTCTCAAATGATACATCATCAACACAGCACGTCTTGGGGGAATCCTCCCAAGTGCAAAGCCAAGGGGAGTCTGGGGTTGAGGAAGTGGCTACTAGGTTAGAAGTCCATTTTACACATAGCATAAACTAACTGTGGACACCTAACTACCTCAAAAAGAAAATCAAACAACTAAAGAAAAACAACAAACTCGGAAACCCTGCCCGCTCCATTAATCAATAATTATTCCTCGAGCCCGAATGGCAGGCCGAATGGGCTATTGACTCAGAGGCCACGAGGGTGAGAGGAATATTATTGTTTTAGTAAAATGCAACTAGTTGGCCAAAAATTTCAAGACAAAACAACTTTAGCTAGCAAAGCGCGTTTCAGCTGCCATTGTTTTGGTTTTCAAAGCCGGCGCTTTTTGCTACTAGTGGGCTATAACATATAGCCTAGAAGTAGCTCAACCAATCAGAACGCAGCATTGATAATAGACCACCGGTTGGATTTTACTATTAGTCTAAGAGTTACACAGGTGACAGTTCTTACAGGTGTCAGTTCTAATGAGTTTCTCAATAATGTCCATTTTTTCACCTGGTTCTTAAAAGAAGTTACAGAACTCTTAACGTGGATACTTAATTTGGACCACATTACAGGGTCAATATATCTAATACTGTGTTTCCCATATGTGGTGGTGTTAATTCTTGGAATCATAAAATTTTACCATGGCATTAAGCTCTTATGTAAAAAACTTTTCTTTAAACACTTCATTCTAAACAATTATACAAAATAAAATGCTTTTGTTTAGGAAAGCTTAAATAATTATTAGAGCTTACCGCATAGTTAAAACCAGTGAACTATTAAACATCATCTGCTTTGCAAGGCTGATGACCTTTCTATGTATTCATTTTTTGGGTGTTTCTTGGTGTTGCGGAAACCATTGTTGGTTCACTTTTGTTTTTTGGTGAGGAGGAGGGGAATTGTTCAGTGTCTTTTAAATATTTGCATGTATGTCATTAGCTGATTGTATCTGTTTGCAGCACCAATTACCATATTTTTCTTAACAAATTCATTTTACTACAGTCATAAATAATGCAGTAACTACTTCATCCTAATATAAGAAAGTGTTTTTCAAATTCTGCTGTCAAGAATTCAGGGGTTGCTCTGCAGCCAGTTTAAGAAGAGTAACTGACTGTATCAAAAAACAAGGCGAGGTTGTACACTCCACATCTGAAGTCTCAAATGATACATCATCAACACAGCACGTCTTGGGGGAATCCTCCCAAGTGCAAAGCCAAGGGGAGTCTGGGGTTGAGGAAGTGGCTACTAGGTTAGAAGGAGCATCTTTGTGAAAAATCATTTGTCTAGTGTTCGTTAGGGAAATGAAAGGTTTTCAAGTATTGAGACATTAAGTGCTTTTCAGTGTTGTCATGCTATGCCTGAGGTTGGTGGTGGGGGACCATGGGCTAACGTTAAGTTTAAAGTTCAGGGATTACCAGGGGAGATTTCAGCTCCAACTTTTTTGTACCATCAACTAATTATTCAGAGCAGTTAAGCACTGCAATTTAATATATAGTTACTGTGAGTATCTCTACAGGTAAATAACAGTTACTTAGAATCATCTGCCAGCCCTTTAAATGAAATTTTCCTTTCTTTGGTTCTTGAGTGGAATGTGGAGACTCTGGATGGGTAGTCCTGACAAAATTTAAGTTGTAACAGTCACTTTTGATGAAACAACAGTTTTATAGATTAAAGCAATGATCACATTGCTATTCTGATCAAGGTTAATGAAGTTAGTTCCGTGATGACAGCAAGGAAATTTACCAAAAAGTGTGCACCCTTAGTTTTTGTTTTGCTTATTAAACCTCTTGCTTTTTGGGTTTTCTTGTTGTTATTGTCATCATGGTTTCTCAAGGTCACTGTTACTTCTACCACAAAAAGGGACAATTTCATTGAAAAACCTACAATAAATTAGAAGGAAAATCGGTGCCCAGAGGATAGCAACATCTTCAGGTCCCAAATGGAGTATCGGTATGAAGTGTAACTAAGTATTCAATTTATCGGTAAAAGGCTTTAGGCAACGTGGCCATGGATTAGTATTGTTGAAAGAACCAAAATGAAGTACACAGTATACAGTTGAACCTCTATATATACATAACAACCTCTTGTAAGTGACAACCTCCCAGAGGCAGCCACCTATCCATAACACCAAATTTTTTTCTGGAACCCCTTGTAAACAACCACCTCTTGTAAGCAATTGTGACCAATTTTTAGCATGACATTTTTTTAAATTTTCCATTGTTTTTTACCTCTTGTAAGGGACCACTTGAGTTGACACATGGTCTGATTTCTGTGTTTGCTGTAAGTACTTGCTACTCAGTGTATACAAAGATCTTTGGTGACAAAGTGGAACCACACATTATCATAACTTAGAAATTGCATGTAATAAATTATCTTCCAAAAAGTAGATGTGTCAAGATCTCTTCTTGGAAACGATGCCATGGTTTGATTCTCTTAGTCGACCACCTTCAGTTAGCAACCATTACACTGTCAGTCTTGGCATTTTAGGTGGTTGCTTACTGGAAGTTCAACTGTATCAATTTCTAAGTTCTCATTCAAGCTGTCTCTACCACTTTAATAACTTAAAAAGGAGACTCAAACAGGTTACCTAGCTTTTATTTAATTTAATTTGAAGAATGAGCTTGAGCAATAGTTAAAACATTTTGCCAGCATGGCTTCATTCATGGCTTAGCATGCACCAGTGAAGTGTCATGTGTGCTGTTACAACTTTTAAACATGTTTGAAAAGAACAAGGGCCGAAACTCTTTCTTTTACCTTGTCCTTTTTGTTATAAAACCATATTATTCCCTACAGCATAACTAAATGTAGATTATTTTCCCATGTGACCTGGCTGGGTACAGGGCAATTCTGATGGTCCATTGGTACCAATTGGGCAAGGGGATAACCTGGGGGGGGGGGGGGG